AAAATGATTAGAACACTAGTATTTTCACCAGCTAAAAAGATGGTTTTAAGTCAGTTATTTCTATCTTTTGCTGTAGTGTGTCAGTAGGAAATATCAGTTTACATTTCCAAATGTTTATTTTGCCATTATTTGTAATAAAGATCTGTGTTTGCACAAGGAGTCTGACAACAGCCAGCGCTCCACACAGAGATCTGATCTGATCATCATCCAGTCTGTCTGGAACGACATGAAGAAACACAACAAACTGAGACAGACTCAATCCAGAAGAACTGTGACAACGTCTCCAAGATGCTTCAAGAAACATACCTGCAAAGTACCTACAGTACTGTTAAAAGTTTTAGGCACTTGTGTAAAAATGCTGTAAAATGAGGACGCTTTCAAAAATAATGTCATAAATAAATCTTCTTAACTTTAGTTAACTAAATTAAATCAACATTTGTTGTGACCGTCCTTTGTGTTTGAAGCAGTGTTTGGTTTTGGTAGGAAGAAAGAATGCGTAAGTAGTAATGTGTAAGGATGGTATTGTACATTGAGATGTTGTAGTGCTGTGACAGGAAGTGAGGACTGTAGGGGTGGATTGCCTCTGTAACGAATGCAAAAAGGTCATTTGAAAGAGCGAGCGAGAGAGAGCCTTAGAGTCACAGAAATACCACTGAACAAGGAATTCCCCCGCCTCCTCTGATCCAGCCAAAAAACCAAAGTGAGTGTGTGACTTGTCTGGGCAAGCATTTATCTTTGTGCTCTGTCGTTGTCAAGTTTTCTTGTATTAAGTTGTGTTATATCCACTTTTTAAGGCTACGTTATATAAATTCACACTTATGAAGATGTCTTGATGAGATTAGGCACTGAACTTAAAACTTTATTTTCTGCACTAACTTGTTTTTGGTTGTATATTCTGTTTTCTATACTCCCAATACTCTGTATGAGAATTGTAGTGCTGTATTACAAACTGATCTATCTCATGTGCTGTGTTTCATTGCAGGATCTAATTTAAGAAGGAAAGGACAGCGCAAACAGGAAGAGGCTTGGACAAGAACAGAAGAAAAAGAGAAGGGGCGGGATGCAAGAGGAAAACAGAGTGGAAGATATTGATAGGCTGGGACTCGCAGGAAATCAGGAGGATTAGAGACTCTCTTAGAGCAAGACAAGATGAAGCCCATTAAAAAGCAAGAAAGGCGGTCTCCCCCATCCACTCGCGCCAAGGGAGTTAAGAGGAGGACAGCGGACAGTAGCCCACAGGAAGAGAAGAGAGAAACAGAGGAAAAAACCCAAATTTCACCTACCTCTCCCAAGAGACATATCTCCTCAAATTCTGACTCATCACAGGAAGGGCCACTGAGAAGAAGCGGGTCTCCGGAAAAGGAGGGGGTCCTCAGTATAGCAGTGGATTTCGGGAAGACAGAGGAATGCCCCGGAAGCTCTAAGTCTGGCGGAACACAGAGTGACAGCAACAGTAGCACGATCAGCGCCAGCAACAGCCCCAACACTTCTAGTCGCAAGACGGCCACTTTTAAGGCCCGTGTGCCTAAGAAGAAGTACACCTCGGAGCACTTTGCTGGAAACCATGGCAACGCCAGCACTCCCAGCACACCCCCACAGAGCAGCAGCAGCTCTCATAACGGAAGTGGTGCTAATCAGGGCCCAGCTGCCTCTGCTGCACACACGGACCTACACGGTCAAAGCCAGCTGGCTGAGGACAGCATCACTGGGTACGGACACAGCAGTGTAACAGGGCCTACAGGTAGAACTGCAGGTGAGTGCGGAGAGAGGGACAGGCCGAGCGCATCCAGCCCACAGCGTTGCTCCTCAACCGACACAGCCAGCGAACACTCGGCTGACCTAGACGTGACAGCTTCAAGACGTGATTCTCACTTCAACTCCCAAAAGCCACAAGCACATAGCACTTTGACATCCATGCAGGAGAGCCTGTCATCTGGTCTAGCCGGCGTCCTCGCCAAAGGTCTCAAAAATCAGAGAGTTCTGGCCCGACAGGGTCCCAGATTAGGGGAAGGCTGGCCTCACGATCGGGGCCGGGAAATGTCTGATGTGTTTCGCACTGGAGTTGTGCGGAGAGTTAGCGAGGAGCATGGGATTGTGGAGGTACAACTAAATGGAGAAAAGACCATATGCAAGTACCCATTTCGAGTGGCTACTGATTCTGTTGACCTTATTCTAGATGCGTCACCTCCCGGTGTGGCCCCGGTGGCTATAGGCACACAAGTCTGCATCCCCTTCGGAGGAGGTGACGAGGGCAGTGAGGGAGCGCAACCGTGGTACAGAGAAGGTATAGTCACTCAAGTAGATCCACATCCAGCTGTGTCTTTCCCATACCGTGTTCAGCTAAGGGAAGATCGGTCTGATGAGAGAAAGGAGAGGAGAGGTGTGGAAGATGACGGAAGGGCTCAGGCCATTTGGGTCTCACGACAAAATCTCCGCCTCCTGGTTCCTCCTTGGGATTTAGAGCCGCCCCAGCCAGCAGAGCCAGGGATTGATGGTAGGAGGGTAAGAGAACGAGAGTGGGAGGAAAGAGAGGACATGGAAGTGGAGCAGGAGGTGGTTCAACTGACTAGACCAACGTTTGTTCAGAGTTTGCTGCAACCTTACCCCTCACCCCATTCTTCTTCTTCTGTCGTTAACACTGCCATCACATCTGTATTCAGTGTGGCCCCAAACAGAGACTGGGAAAATCACAGAGAGAAGGATCAGGAAAGAGACTTGCATAGGCACTTAGAGAGAGAAAGGGAACGAGAAAGGGAGAGGGAGAGGCAAAAGCATCATCCTCTTCATTCATCCACCCCAGATGGGGTGGACTTGGAAGTCAGCTGTCTTAGCCAGCTAAGGGATGGTGGCATCACTGCCTTGGGAAGCAAAGCTCTGGGGGCTCCTTCTCAGCATCGGCCCATTCTTTCTAAACCAAACTACCTCAACCCTCACCTTTCTGTGGTGAGAGGGCTCAGCACCCCGATTGCACCCCACCTGCCTCTTGCTCCTCACCCAAATCACCCCCCTATGCTCGTGGGCCTGGATTCAGTCACAGGTGCGGCAGTCATCTCCTCCACGTCCCAGCTTCCTCCCTTGCCCCCAAGCTCTTCTCGAGGCTCCCTGGACAAGACCCCCAGCTCCAACTCGCATGGTGCATCAGGGGGTGGCTCTGGATCCTCGTCCTCTTCGTCACGTTCCCGCACACCCCTCACGGCCGCTCAACAGAAGTTCAAGAAGGGCGATGTGGTGTGCACTCCTACAGGCATCCGCAAGAAGTTCAACGGAAAGCAGTGGCGAAGACTGTGCTCACGTGAAGGCTGCTCGAAGGAGTCGCAGAGGCGCGGCTACTGCTCTCGGCATCTCTGGCATTCGTTGGTTCCTTTTCTGGAGACCAGCCAGACAAAAATGTCCATGCAGCCTTCAGATGGCCAAACACTTGTAAATCAGAGCAAAGGTAACATCTGAACACTATAATTTGACATTGCAAGATTTTCTTGTATGATATTGCATAGAATATACACAAAATCACATTCAGAATATATGCTTTCTGTTGATGTTGTGAAACTGAATTAAACGTGCAGAACCTCGCTGTGGAGTTGCCCTTGTGACTGAGGGACCTACTGACCATCCAGCCCCAGAGAGAGGTTCCCCGTCTTGCCCCCCTCCTATTGCTGAAGACCCACCCGTGGAGAGAGGAGGTGACAGTGAGACCGAGAGTGATGCTGACGACCTGTAAATATCTGTTGCATCTCACCTCTTGACAATGACAGCAAACATTTACATTACAATATAAAAAAAAAAAAAAGGCTTTGTAAGGACATGTAATATACACATATTATGGGAAAAATATTTTTATTAAAAAAAATCACAATAATTGTTATTTTTTACATTTTGCTTACTGTTTTTGATGCAAATCTCTGTTCCTCTTATTTTTATATTTTTTAAAAAGTTTTTTCCCAGCTCAAGACACTGCTCCATTCACCAGCCCAGTGAAAAGGCGCACACAATCTCTCAGTGCACTCCCAAAAGAAGGTGACAAGAAGGTAAGTTTCGGGCTGCTATTCGTGTTCTTTTTTTTTCAGTTGCCTGGTTTCCTTTGAGTATCACCAGACAGCCCCGCCATCTCACTTTTAGTGAGTGCTGAAAAATTACCCAGAAACTTGTCAAGGGTTTCAGGCTACAGTCGTTAAGCATTGCCATCATACAGTTCCCTTTTTATCTTCTGTTGAAAGTGTTATACAAATGGACACTCATTATTTCTCCAATCTCTCTCTCTTCTCTCTCAAACCACAAAGAGGGAAAAGGACCACATCAGACGGCCAATGAATGCATTTATGATCTTTAGTAAGCGGCACCGTGCGCTGGTTCACCAGCGGCACCCCAACCAGGACAACCGTACTGTCAGTAAAATACTGGGTGAGTGGTGGTACGCGCTGGGACCCAAAGAGAAGCAGAAGTACCATGATCTTGCCTTCCAGGTACAGTCATTTTTGTGAAATATTATCAAATGCTGCATAAGAGAAAGATGTCATGCCAATATGTTGTCTTTCCTAAGACATAACGTGGAGTTAAAACGTGGTTTTGCATCTGAATTAGTGATAGACTGATATCAGTTTTACAGTGGTCGATATACAGTATGTACTGTAGATGCAAATATCTGGAAAGCAGGATGGTTGATGGCCAATTTAATGCCAGTACGCACTAGTATTTTTTTCTCTCTCATGCTAATCAAGGCTCCTTTGTTTGATCAAAAATAAACTAAAACAGTAATATTGTGAATTATTACAATTAAAATGTAGTTTATTCCTTTGATGCAAAGCTGAATTTTCAGCATCATTACTTCAGTCTTCAGAGTCACATGATTCTTCAGAAATTATTCTAATATACTGATTTGGTGCTTAACAAATATTTCTTCTTCTTCTTCTTCTTATTATTATTATCATCAACAATGTTAACAAAAACAGTTGTGCTGCTTAATATTTTTGTGTCAACAATAATACATTTTTATTCAGCTTTTTTGATGAATAAAATGTTCAAAAGAACAGCATTTTTTAAAAATAGATATCTAACAATATAAATTACTATTACTATCATTTTGGATAAATTTAATGCATAATGAATACATTTTTTAATCTGACCACAAACATTTAAACGGTAATGTAGTGTAGTGTTATCGAAATTAATCATTCATCAAATTTATTAAATAAAATGATCACAGATTTAAAAAAATATGCATTTACATTACTTTTGTGTAAAAATATTAGAAATTGGAATATGTGCATGATTATTATTGATTAAGCCTGTTACTTTATTATTAACTTATCAGTAACTCAACATTTAAACGGTAATGTAGTGTAGTGTTATCGAAATTAATCATTCATCAAATTTATTAAATAAAATGATCACAGATTTAAAAAAAATATGCATTTACATTACTTTTGTGTAAAAATATTAGAAATTGGAATATGTGCATGATTATTATTGATTAAGCCTGTTACTTTATTATTAACTTATCAGTAACTCCCCTAGTAAAAAAAAGTAATATATTTAAAATACATTTATTTCATACTAACGATAGTTCAAATCTATTAACATATATTACTGACAAATTTACTGACTTACTGATATAAAAATGATTCAACTTTATTTGGAGTACTATTTGTGCACAATGCACACTTATTAATAATAAGCCTAAAATATGTTTTAATGTCACTATTGATGAAGATTGTATGATCTTTGAATAATATTGGTCTTAAAATGCAAGATATTTAAGGTGTACCTAAAGTATATTTGCAATAGTTCCACTTTAGCACAATCCAATATTGTTGGATTAGTTGGATTTCAGCACTACTTCCGCACAATTAAAGTGCTTTAAGTACAAAATTAGTTGTTCCAGTTTAGCAGACTTTAAGTATACCAGTTTAGTATACCTAAAGTATAATTGCAGGGTATTTTAATTAAGTTCATAAATATCTAAATGTATTTGTAGTATACTTGGCATGAAATAAATGTATTATAAATGCATTTTAGTATATTTATTTTTCACTAGGGTTTTGCTCTCTTTTAGGTGAAGGAGGCTCATTTCCGAGCTCACCCTGATTGGAAATGGTGTAACAAGGACAGAAGGAAGTCCCTGTCTGAGGGCCGGGGAACTCCAGGGGCCAAAGAAGCTCGAGAGCGCAGTGTGTCTGAAAGCACAGGTCTGTGTGGGAGTTTGTTTATATGCGTGGGCGTTTGTTGGTCTTGTGAAACTATGAGTGCATAGTAGTGTGAAACACAACTGATGTTAAATTAACCTTCTTTGTTTCCCCAGAGGCCCATTCCACATCTCAGGGGGCAGACCACAAAGGAGCAGGGCCCAGCTGGACTTCACCTCGGTCTGACGCTCACGGAGGATCAATGGGAGGGCAGCTTCAACGGCCTCGCGCCTTTTCCCAGAGCGCTGTGCATATTCTGGAGAGGAGGGAGAAGGAGAGAGTGCTAGAAAGCACGAGACTGTTTCATCCCCGTGCCCCTGCTCACCCTCGACGACCGAGTGAGGATGTGACCAGTGATGAAGAGCCTATGGTGATCTGCGAGGAGGGGGATGATGATGTTATAGGTAAATTACGTGCATCATATCCACCTCATTTTGCAACACAAAAGAGAGCTATTTTCTGTGAATGTGATTCATTAGCCGCTGTAGGTAAATAACTGGAGTGCAGCAAATGGTAAAACTATTTACACTACAAACCGGTGTGTTTATAATACATTAAAATAAGATAAGAAATACAGGTTTGCAATATCAAGCAGATGTTTTGGACTGCTACAAATAACTGGAAGTGAATGACACGGAAGGTCTTGCGCATTTAAGTTACAAATTGCCATACATTAAAAATAAGATGGATACATCTTTGTCAATATGATAAATAGCAGCAACCTTGAATGCCCTAGCAACCATCCAGAACTCCTTAGCGTCACTGTGGCTAGTTTTGCATATGCACCACTCATAGTTCCTTCAGAAATGTAAAAACTGGTTACACTTTATTTTACGTGTCCTTGTTACAGTGTAATTATACATTTAAGTATTGAGTAATATTAATTAACTCCATGTACTTACTATATGTCTAGGGTTAGGATTAGGGTTTGGCTTGGGGTTACTTCCATGTAATGATGCATAATTAATTGTTATTATACTAGTAAGTACATGTAATATGTATAACAAGGACACCTTAAAATAGTAACGAAAAAGTAATGATCTTTCAAGCATTAACTATTGTATTAATGTTTATTTATGTAAGTTATTATAAAGTGTTGCCAAGAGAAAGCCTCACTTTTTATGCTAGAGGTCTGGATCTATTGAAAAAAACATAGGGTCTTATGAAATCCACTTTATTTTGTCTGGATTCCATTTTTAATGGTTTAATTACATTTGAATGCTTAAGAAGGATAACAAATCAATTGAATTCATACAGTTTTAATAATTTATTCAAAATTGAACAATATTAGAGACCTATGAAATTTATTTTTTTTGTTTCCAAATTCCATTTTTAATAGTTTAATTAAATGTTAATAATCAAAAATTATAGCTAATCAATTGAATTCATAACCTTTTTATAATTTAATGATTTATTAAAAATGTGAATAATAGATAAAATAATAATTTTTTTTTTTTTCTGAAATTCGGTGTTGCCTGTTTTAATTTTTCTGGATTCTGTGTTTTACAAATGAATTATTGAAGTGGTACAGTGGTAATTATTGAACAGTGCTAATCAAATAAATATGTAAAACCTTAACAAGTTAATGTATCTTAAAATGTAATCAAATTAAATTTGAACAGTTCCTTTTATTTTTTGGTAAACAAATTGCCGTACAACAGAGTGAAATGGTAGTGTAGTAGACTAAATTGCAACACACATTTACACAGACATGCAGAACATGCAGACTTCATATTTAAATAGAGGCTTTTCATGGTTTAATATTCACAGACACTATTTTATATCAGGATTTGTGTACAGCCCTACTTTTGATTTATTGATCCAGATTTAGTCAAGTTCTGTGACATTCCGCATTATGCAATAAATTCCATCTCTATGACTGGATTCTGCATTTTGGAAAACATAAGACCCCAAAATCCCCTGATCTTTAGATAATGCTGTTATACATGGAACGTACCCACCATCAGAAAATGATTATCCTTCAGCGATTCGGTTTTGATTTTACAAGTGTTTTGCGTTCAGTTCTCATTTTCTCATTATTAGTCAGTCCTGACTGATTCTTGAGTCTGTGTCTCCCACGAGCTCTGTGCTCTCTGATGCACCACCACCATCCAAACATCATTAATTCATTTTGGAAAGGCAAAATCTCCTCACTGCTCGGCACTCTCAGTCCCATGAGTGTGAGATTTGCAAGCCCTGGTCTCACAGCTAACGTGTGATTTCCCCCACAGAAGACGGCTCCATTGACCTGAAGTGTAAAGAGAGAGTGACAGACAGCGATGACGAAAACGAGCATGCAGATGAATCTGACAGCAAGGTAACAACTTGATACATCACATGGGTAGTTGGCATGACATGTCAAGCAATATGTCCCACATTGCATCTGTTCGACTATTTTGAACTTTTTTTACACTCCTGTTAAATTGTTATGCATGCAGTTTTAGGTCATTTTTAAATGAATTCTGTACTACATGCAAACTCCAAATTCCTTTGGAAATGTGATTAAAAACTGACAAACGCACACTTTCACATTACACAAGTTATAAAATCTTGATGTTTTAAAAATGTCAATGTTATTCGCCTCCTAACCACATCCAGCTGTCATATGTCATCTAGAATAAAGTTAATGTTTATATTTAATTGATGAAAAGACCATCTCTCTTTGTTAAGAAATATATGCTTTAAATTAGATTCGCCTCATTACCATAACAACAGAAATTATATTTGCTCTCATATAGTTATTATTTATAAAACCAGATTATTTCTGCATCTGTGTGTTTGGTTGTGTGGCAAGTAACTATTATTTCTTCAGGATTTTCTTGTGAGGTTTTCCACGCCAATGGATATACCCACAAGGCAGCAGATGTCTCTAAGCGTTCCGTCTCTTAGATGGTTTACTAAACAAATTGTTGGCCTTAAAGGGATAGTTCACCCAAAAATGAAAGTTCTGTCATTATTTACTCACCCTTGTGTCATTATTTTAGTATAATTGAGATACTGTTATAGCTTTTATCAGTATTTCGAATGAGTTTTTAATTTTATATATTCCATTTTAATTAAATTTAGTTTTAGTAATTTTGTTGTTTATAATTTAAATCACCCTTGTGTCATTATTTTAGTATAATTGAGATACTGTTATAGCTTTTATCAGTATTTCGAATTAGTTTTTAATTTTATATATTCCATTTTAATTAAATTTAGTTTTAGTAATTTTGTTGTTTATAATTAAATTTTTTTTATGTCTACAGTTTTTATTTTTGTTTTAGTTATTGTAGTACATTAAGTTCAATTAAATGATATGCCATGTGTGTATACATATATATACTGTATATACACACACACCATTTTTTTCCTCCAAAAACAACAAAAATACATTAAAAGTAGTCCATATGACTTTTGCACTATATTCCACATTGAGCCTTTCTGGAGCTAAAACTGTAAAAAAGCATGACGCTCCCAGGGAATGCATGAACTTAAAAAATATATAGTTTGAATGCAAAGTTGCTTTGGAAAAAAATGTGTTGGCCAAATGCATAAATGTAATGTCAATGTAAAATCCAAGTGGTCTGAAGCCATACATGAACTTTGTGTAGAAAACTGAAGCTGTTTTTCACTTAAAATTTTATTGTAATTTTATGTGCAGTAATGAAACACACACCCTGACGCTGACATCAAATCCAGCATAAATGTGAATGAAATGATCAGATAATCAGAGTAAAATAGTGATCTTATGCCACAAATGATCTTTTTCTCTTCAGCGCACCTTCCAACCAGTCCATTCCTCTTTGGCGTTCTCTCCGACTGGCACAACTGGCAACAAAGACAACGAAGACGGGCGTGAAAAGAACCTGGAGAAGAAGGAGAAGAGAGGCATGGGTGGTGCAGAACTGGATAATGGGGGGCCCAAAGAAGGGAAAGGAGGAGGTGGAGGATGGCAGGTTCCGTTCCATGTTAATTCGGCCTCCGTCACTGGTATAAATGCCACTTTGCTGCACGATGCCGGGACATACTCTTCGCAAGGCGCTGTCAGGATGGCCCCCACCGTGGTGACCAATGTTGTCCGTCCCATCACTAGCACCCCTATCCCCATCGCCAGCAAGCCAACTGATGGGGGTGTGGCTGTTGGGACTCTACCTCCGAACGGGAAGCCCAAGCTACTGATCGGAGCAGGAGGAGGTGGGTACTTTCCCTCCTCTTCTCCCAAACCTAATGGCCAAGGAAGCTTAGTAACTGGCCTAGTCCTGGGAGGAGCCTTCCCAAACCAACCCACCGTTCAGCTCATCACCCCACCACAACCTACTCCATGCAATGGAGCCCCTAGTAACAGTGCAGTACCCCTTCCCCTGCTTCATCACCAGTTCCTCCCTGCTGCCTCCATTACGCCCCCTAGTAGCGGGAAACCCATAACACAGGTGCAGTACATCCTTCCAACTCTGCCTGCAGCTGCCAATCCCAACAGTCCCTCCTCCCTGCAGACCCAGCAGCCCTCCAGCATCCTTACCTTGCCCAGTGCCGCACCCACCCATGTGAGCCTGGCCAATGGTGTACATTCAGGGGCGGGGCAAGGAATAAGATATGCTTCAGTCGCAGCAGTGGGAGGAGTCAGCGCGGGAGGTGGAGGTGAGATTTGGGGCAGTTAAATTGTGGTGAAGAAACCGGACACGCGTTAACTTAAATTCAGGGTTCCCACAGGGATTTTGAGGACTGTAAAATTAATGGAAATAAATCAAATCTTTAAATAAATGGACATTTTTATAGTAAATAATAGACATTAAACATCATTTAATTTTCTCTCTTAAAAAATGTATTTGATCAGTGTAAATTACCGTACCATTTAGGGGTTAGTAAGAATTTTTTTATGTTTTCGAAAGAAGTCTCTTATGCTCACCAAGGCTACATTTATTTGTTAAAAATACAGTAAAAATTTTAATATTCAGAAATATTATCACAATACAAAATAACGTTTTTCTATTTGAATATATTTTAAAAAGTAAATTATTTCTGTGATGAAATCACATTAGAAGTCATTCTAATATGCTTGAGTTGGTGCTCAAAAACATTTCTTCTTATCAATGTTGATAGTTGTGTTGCTTAATACACTGAACAAAATTATAAACGTAACACTTTTGTTTTTGCCCCCATTTTTCATGAGCTGAACTCAAAGATCTAAGACTTTTTCTATGTACACAAAAGGCCTATTTCTCTCAAATATTGTTCACAAATCTGTCTAAATCTGTGTTAGTGAGCACTTCTCCTTTGCCGAGATAATCCATCCACCTCACATTTTAGAGTGGCCTTTTATTGTGGCCAGCCTAAGGCACACCTGTGCAATAATCATGCTGTCTAATCAGCATCTTGATATGCCACACCTGTGAGGTGGATGGATTATCTCGGCAAAGGAGAAGTGCTCATTAACACAGATTTAGACAGATTTGTGAACAATATTTGAGAGATTAAAAATTAAACGTTTTTTTTTTTTTTTTTAGGATTTTTTTTTTTTTTAGTAAAGTTCAAGAGAACAGCATTTATTTAACCATCACTTTTAATCACTTTAATGCACCATTGTTGAATAAAAGTAGTATTATTATTATTATTTAAAGTAAAAAAAACTTTGAGCAGAAGTGTATATCCACAGCCTCTTTGGTATGTCTGAAGTTTTTGTTGACGTCATCCAACCTGAAATGAATTTATTTTAGCTTGTATTATACTTAATTTAAAAAAAAGAAAAGAAAAAAAAGAGGTTAATTTTTAAAATTTTTCATGAGTAAACACCACTATTCTCTAGTTGAATTTAATATGAGGGGAAAACTTTAATGTTGTGTGTGTGTGTGTGTGTGTATAGTGATTTTTAAAAATAAATAAATTAAATCAATTCTTATATTCAGCAAAGATGCATTAAATAAATCAAAAGTGACAATAAAGACATTTATGATGTTAGGAAAAAAAAATATATATATATATATAATTTCAAATAAATGCTGTTTATTTCTTTTAAACTTACTATTCATTAAAGAATCCTGAAATAAATAAACAAATCTACAAAAATATTTATTTTGTGCCATCATGATTAATATAAGCTTTTGGTTATACTACCCATCTATACTTCAATAGATACTACAAAATGGATATTATGGCTATTTCAAGATCTTTAACAGCAGTTGTCATTAAATATTGATTAAGCATTTGCATTACTGTATGTTCTTGCAGTCCCTCATGTTCAAAATGTTCAATAGGTCAGCATTGTGAAGGGAAGGAGGATGGAAAGAAAGGGAGCAAAATGGAGCTAGAGTCTGAGAGAGACGTAGGAGGGGACCCGTCTCAAGCAGAGAGAGCTGAGAGAGCAAGAGCGATGGAAGGGGAGACAGAGAGTCAAGCTGAGATCAACAGCAAAGACGAGAGTCGAGAGGTAAGATGCTTTTCTCAGCTGTACAATCCAACTTTACTGAATTCAAACAGTTTTCATATGAAACTCAACTGTGCAGATTCAGATCCCCACATTCTTCCATAATCACCTTTTGTTTTATTTCTTCTTTCAGGCAGGACGCAGGGAAGCTTCTGTTTTCGACCCCCCACCACCCCCTTTGCAGACTGACCCCCCTTCAGTTAAAAAGACCAAGTTCCGCCCACCGCCACTGAAAAACACCACTGATGCTGGTGACAAGTGAGTGGCATTGCCCATGATCAGTCGAGAGCAGTTTTTAGTTGACCATTCATAGTATTTATTATTATATAATTCATTAGCTTTTATTTCTATATTTTCTTTCTTTACATTATTTAATTGTTTGTTTTTAATAATTTGTTATTTAGCTTTAATTTATTTTTAATTTATTTGTAGTTTAGTAATATTAGCACTTCAACTCAAACTTGTTTATTTCAGTTAGTTGCCAGGCAACATTTCACGTTTAAATTTTAAAAATTAAAAGGGGTCCTATTATGCTCTTTTACAAAGTCTTGATTTTGTTTTGGGGGTGTACTAGAACAAGCTCTCATACTAGGTTGTTCGAAAAACACATTATTTTTCACTATAATACCATTTTACTATCACTATTTTACATTATTACAACACCTCTCTCCCCAGTCTGGCATGAACGGCTCGAATAGTTCCTGTATCAAATGAAGGCCCGCCTTCTGAAATATGAAATGTGTTGTGATTGGTTAGCTGGGCCAGAGTGTGTTGTGATTGGCAGCACTCGTCGCCTGGTCGGGAAATGTCACGCCCCTTACCATAGCCGCCTGCGAGCTTCAGTGTAAATATTGCATCAAAATCAAATCAATTTGAGAGCGATTTAAACCCGGATGATTGTAACCACTCTAAGTTCGTCTGCCTTGGGAAAGCTAGCGTGTCTCCGACATAGTGATAACACTCGTTGCCTTCTCTAGTGCAGCTCAACCACGTCTCGTCCCATTCGTCGATATTTGTGATCTCACAAATCCCGGAAAATATGCGTTGTAGTCCAAACGAGTCGTTCGTTGTAGTTTTTGAAAAGTGATTTCTGTTTAATAAAATATCTCCTTTTGAAGTGGACTTTGAACTTTGCAACTTTGCAGATCTTTTTTTATGCTCAAACAGCAACATTACAGACTAACTCAAGCTGAAAAAGTGAAAAAGCATAATAGGACCCCTTTAAGCTTACGTTTTCGGTTTAAAGGTCCAGTTTAAAGTTGACATTTTTGATCTAATATATATTGCTTTATTTCAGCTGTAATTCAAGCAATAAAGACCAGTTTAAGTTAACAATAACAACAACAGTTAAAAGCCAGTGGCACAAACATTGTAACAGTATCACCATTCGGCCAAAAAACGTAATATGTGTATGTACACAGGTGCATTATATTTTTAGCCAGTGTGTTGCAAGCATGTGGTCAAGGTTATATACTGAATATACTTGCGTTACTGTAAAATAAACACATCTTAGTATTCAAGGTGGCAGTGGACCTTCAAATATTTTTGACATATATTTGATATTACTCTGTTATCTAGCTACAGTTTACTAATTTACTTCAAGATTTTCTTCAAACATTTGCGCAGCCATGACAGTATTTGACCTGGAAGGGAAAACTGACTGTAGTGCACCATTTATGCCTAGTATGCATTGCTACACATTTGTTTGTACTTGTGTATCTTTCAGGCCTTATTCTTTTGCATTTACACCAAATTAGTAGTCACTGGTTAGTCACATCCCTCCATCCCTGCTCATATCTTTCACAAAGTACTATTTATGTGGTTTGTAAAACAGTTATTCTGTATTCTCTTTTTTACATAATTTCTCTTCTATGTCAGTTATTATTTCATTTTGTAACAACTATATTTGCTCTTTCGCAGGGCGCTGTTTGGATCCTCTTTTGAAGAGCGTCTTAAAGAGCTGCCGGAGTTCAAGCCTGAAGATGTGCTGCCCTCTCCCAATCTACAGAGTCTAGCAAGTTCCCCTAGAGCCATACTGGGCAGCTACCGCAGGAAGCGGAGGAACTCTACAGGTGAGAGAAGATTATAAGGCTACGTCCACACGAAGCCAGAGCTTTCCCTATCCAATCTTTTTTTTCTCCTCGTCTCAAGAAATATCTGTGTCCACACGAAACCACAAAACGGACACAAAAAATGTAGTATATATGCCAAACCAGTATGTGGAGCTGTAATTCTGCCACAGAGATACACTAAAAACGGAGAAGAAAAGTTGGACTATGCGCATAAACCTTTAGCGCGGTATACAAACGAACATGGAACAATACATTTATTAATCTGTGTTAATGTTAGTTAATTAAAAGACAATCGTTCAGTGTTCGTTCATGTTGTTGTTGCTGTTACGTGACGTAGCGGTGTCTGACTAGGGGGGAGACGTGGGCTGATGACGTCATCGTTTCAGAAAATATACGGATTCGCTGTCCACATGAAAACGCAAGGGTGGCGTTTTCAGATTTATCCACTCTGGGACCCAGTTTCAAAAAATATCAGTTTCACTCTCCCAAAATCCCGGCTCCGTCTGGACGAAACGCCTATACGATACAAAATGTATGCGTATACAGCTAAACGTGTCTCCGTGTGGACGGGGCCTAAATATAATGAGAAACTGCACAGTCAAATGCCATGTTTTTCTCAGACAATCACATGTACATTCATGCATTTAGCAGATGCTTTTATCCAAAGCAGCTTACAAAAGAGGAACAAAAGCAATTTATCAAAAAGCCAATAATATACGATGCCAGGTTTAGTAGACAACTACATTGGGAAGCAAGCAAGATCTAGGTGATTCTTTTTGCCCACAGTTTGCTTTTTTGGGTGATTTTGGTCCCTCCTTTCATAACCTTTTTTTTTCCTTCCTTAGATCTAGACTCCGCCGACGACCCCAGTTCACCACGGAGGAAGAGTCGCCGCTTGTCCAGCTGCAGCTCAGAGCCCAACACGCCCAAGAGTGCTGCCAAGTGTGAAGGGGACATCTTTACCTTCGACAGGGCTGGTGGGCTCAGTTTTATGCTTAAACTCAGTCTCATGAACCCATGCATAAAAATATTTATTCATGTGTGTTTTCTTATCTTTTGTGTTTATCAGTTGGAGAGACGGAGCATATTTCGGAGGAGTCGGACCGTGTGCCGCATTCCTCTCTGCGTAGGATGTTGGACCAGCGGCGTGCGCTCGTTATGCAGCTCTTCCAGGAGCACGGCTTCTTCCCCTCAGGTAACATCAAGTTAACCATCTCTCAGTATAGCACAGCCAGACTTGAATGGACACTTTTCACATTTCCGGGTTTCTCAGCATCCCCATTTGCTCAAATAGCAAAAGAAAACTTACAATAGTGTTTTCACGACATTCGATAAAATGAAAAAATAAATAGAGAGAGTGAGAACGGCAGTCAGAAGAGAGAACGATGTCAAATTAACCGTCACTCCCTTAGCCGCTGCATTAGAAACACTCTTGCATTAGTGTTAACTATTTTTTTGTAATTTGACGCAAAGGTAATATAATACAAAGTATAGTGTTATAAATGTACATACACTTTAAAAAAAAAATGAAAATATAAAACATTTGGAAGGATTTGTGTTGGTGGTTGAGGAGATTAGTATTAGAGTGCCCAGAAAAGTGCTATATAAATGTAAGGAATTATTATTTATTATTATTTTTATGATGCTGATGTCCAGTGAAACGTGACAATCACAGTCTTGTACACAGGGTCCATTGAATTTATACTTCTGTTGAGCAAAAAAGTCAATTTCAAATAAATGCTGTTCTTTTGAATGATCTATTCATCAAAAAAATCAGCATTTCCACAACAATATTAAGAAGCAAGTGTTTACAACATTGGTAAGAGTAAGAAATAATTGAGCAGCAAATTAGCATTTAAGAATGATTTCTGAAGGATCATGTGACACCGAAGACTGTAGTAATGGCTGCTAAAATCACAGTTACATTTTAAAAAATTTAATTTTAACGTTTAATTAATTCCTATGAAAATTAATTAAATGTAACTAATTAAACTACGAAAGTTTGCTTCCACCAGAACTCAGAGTTTGTTTCATACCACAGTTCTGACTTTACATCTCAATTCTGAGAAAAAGCCAGATATAAAGTTAGAATTGTGAGATATAAAATCAAAAGCGCGAAATGTATGATAAAAAGTTAATTTTTATTAATGAATAAATTAAATTGATTTTTATAATTAATATAAATTGTTTTCAAAACAAAATTGTACAGTTATCAAATTCATCGCTTCAGAGGCTCAATGATATGCAATCAGCCATTGTTGTGAAGGCAAAACTTAACTTGCATATCTTTCTGGTACAGCGCAAGCCACAGCTGCCTTCCAAGCTCGCCACTCGGACACGTTTCCCAGCAAGGTGTGCCTGCAGCTGAAGATCCGCGAGGTAAGGCAGAAGATCATGCAGACTGCCGGCAGTTTTGAAAGCGTGGGAGGCGTGGCCATTGGAAGCTCTGACTCCGCCTCTACTCCCGGACCATCCAATCCAGCGGCCAGGGAGAATTCCGAAGCGGACGAGAAGGGCAGGGCCACGGAAGAGCCAAAGAAAGACGCGGGCGATCCGCAGGAGTCGAGATGAAGAACGACGGAGGAGACGAGCGGAACGAAAGAATGAAAGACTAATGTAGGGATGGATTCTAGAAATGTGTAAACCCATTTCCGCTGGCGATATACAGTGCAGCACTTATGTGGATTTTGCTTCGTTCCTAATCGAACTGATTTCGTTGCCATTGCGTTCACTTCGTTGATGTTCTGTTGTTATGCACAGTTACACACACACACACGCGCACACACACTTTATGCAATTACATAATAATATCACTTTCACACATTAACGACTTGCACAAGGAGCGCATGAGGTCGCACTCATTTGCATATGCCACTCGTGTTAGGCCGTCATTGGTCCACCTCTGCATTAGGGCGTGGCTTTACTTTCTGTCGGAATTTTAGTGCCCTTCAATGCTGCACCACAGGCAGCACCAAACCAGCCTGTCTGCACACGCTCAGTAAAGCCCCCTGCGTGGGGCCAGCACAGATTTTTATCGAATGGACTGAATGTTTTAGACGAGAAATTAGACTGTTTGAGGTACCGGTAACTTTCAATCCAAAACAGGGATGGGCCAAAACGGGGACGGGGGGGTAGGGGGTACAAATGCGCTTGCACTTTCATTTGTAAAGACCGAGAGACGGAGGAAAGCAATAGCCGGGGGAGGAGAAGGGTCTTCGTGCGAATGTTACGCTCCCGTGACGGGGGACATGCATCGGCTGTTACTGTTCTTCAGCACGGGCTGTAAATTCACAGGTTTTTTTTTGGTTTTCGTCCCAGAAGCAACAAACTCAAGACTCGTAATCACGTAGACCAGCGGAGCAGAAAACAGAGGCTACGGCGACCGCCACAATCGCATAAACAACAACAACAACAACAACAACACAGCACACTCAAAAGCGAGAGAGGAAAACGTTGTCCTAACCTCGAAAAGAAGACTCAAACGAATAGAGACACTACCCCTCTTCGAATCAACGTGTAGTTATGCTTTGTCGTTTTGTTGTTGTGTCGTAACGGTGGAACTGACTGATATCCTATTTTGTATTAGCTTGCGCCTCTCTTCTTCTTCTTCTTCTTCTTCCTCTAGTAATATTTTCAGCATGGACTAATCCAGCTATCTAAGTGTTGGAGCGATTACATCGAAAAGAAAAAAGACTCTGGTTTAGCCTCTTAGCTGAAGCTCCTCTTCTCTGGCCACCGACTTAGGCTTTTCGCTGTACACTGTATATATATATATATATATATATAACCGTGATGGCTGGGGAGGGGGGCAGAGGGTGGGCACGAGGCTCTCTCTGTGTTCTTTTCCTCGTTTCTTTCTTGCTTTTTTATATTTCAATCAGGTGTTTGCACAATATATGGTCCTAGACCATGGTTTAAATCAGGAAAGTATTTGTTTTTAGATATTTAAAAACTAACCAACGACTTTGTTCCATTGCGTTCGATTCTCCCTTTCCGCATCCCGTAAGGAAAACCCTTATTTTTTCATCTCCTTAAGACTTTTAACCCAAGTGTTGATGGAAAGCGCCACTTTAAGCGCTGGTCTGGAGTCAGAGTAAGCTTTGTAGTCTGCGACGACCATTTCGATTCGGGATTACGCAAGGGAAAGCTGACCCGAGACCAGCGCTGGGGCGGCATTTCTCAGGATCTCCTCTTTCTTACTCTGCCTCTTCTTTCATTGGTGCAATAGGACGTGGGTGGGAATTTTTTTTGAAGTAGACGAGTGACCTGTTAGTGCCATAGATTTTCACTGTAGAAGCTGTAATAAAAAAAATATATATACATATATTGAAAGGAGAGTGGGGGGAAAAAATCAATGAGTATCGAGAGAGAAATCCAAACTGAACAAACTAAAAAAAAAAGTAACCTAGCACTTTCTTGCGTCTGGTTTTGCTGAAAGAGAAGGAGTGATGAGTATAAAAATGCTACTCAGTCTTCACTTGAATGTGTGACAATATAAATGTATAAATATACCTATATATTTCTATATGTCCATGATATACAGATGTCTGTGTGTGTGCGAGCGTATGTACTTAAACATTACATGCACCCTGACAAATCAAACTTACTCCCGAGCAAATGCTATTCATATTTTCCCTCCTGAAAATGCAGTGGCACTACATTAAAAGACTGTTAGGATATGCCTGAAAACCGGTGGCTACTGACGTGCGCGAGGAGAAATCGGCATATAATGTAACCATTCAGCTCGATTCTGAACTTGATTATTATCTGCCCTTTCTTTCCCTTCCCCCAGCGACAGACAAATGCTTGCACACACACACACATACCTGCACATGTATGCGTGTACACCTTATGATTGTGTATCCAATAAACTGTCTTTATTTTGGAGAAGGAGTTTTAGAGTGAGAAAGGTGAGTGTAAACTCATCAACAGGCATGTTGACCATGTGCAATATTTCTAAACGAGATTATTGAAAAAATTAAAGACCTAACACAACGCTTGGTTTTTGTGTAGTTCTTTTCGCATGTATGATAAAGGTATGTTATAGATGGATGGATAGACAGACAGGTAGATAGTTAGATATACAGAATTCATGATCTTTATCAGACCTGATTTATTATCTTTATCAGTAATAAGGAACGGCTTATTATTTGATTAGTATTTTTTATTTAATATGAGTTTAATTTGAATTCATTTTAAATGTTTTGTTTGCTGATTATTATACACAAATAACATAAAGTTGTAAAAGCATTGATTTAGAATGCCATTTTAATATTTATTATCTTTATCAGACCTCAAGTTTTATTTACAAGTAATAATGAACACATTATTGTATTAGTGCTATTTAATATGAGTTTTATTTGAATTAATTTTAAATTATTTGTTTTTAGTTCTATTTAATTATCATCATTATTAGTAGTATTAATATTATACACACAAAACATATTATTAAAAAAGCATATGGATGCAGGGTGTTCTTTTTATAATCTATTATAATATATCATCTTTATCAGATCTAAAGTTTTATTTACAAGTAGGAACAGCTCTTTTTCTTTTAATATCTATATATCTGTCTATCTTCATCTGCTTTTGTTAGTTTTAATATGCATTTTATTTTAATTCTTTTTAAATGATTTTTTGTTATTATTATTATTATTATTAACAACGTACAAAAACAACTAACTGTGCATGATAAAGTTAGTGGCAGTGACTCGAGTGTGTGACACCTGCTCCTGGAGTTGTTTGGAGTCCGGATCAATATAGCGCGTCTACAGTGCGCCGAACTGCATTTCCCATGAGGCTGTGCGTATTCTCAGCGCGTGAGAGAGTGGGTGAACGCTGAGGGTCGCGGCAAAAGGTTTGTCATCTTTTCCTTTTTAACCCAATGTTTCACCCCGCACCAGGCCAAGTCGACGAGGGAACCGCTGATCCTCGCCCCACAGCCTCGGCACACTTTCAGTCAGATATGAGCGGCAGCGGGCGGCCCAGGACGACCTCGTTCGCTGAGCCTCAGGGGGCGTCCGGAGCCGCTGCAGCATCCGCCGGATCCGCCGCTGTCGTGGGGAGCAACGCAGGAAAGCCCGGGGTCTCGCAGGCCTCGGCGGACAGTTCATCTGCTTGCGCAAATTTAAAACTATCTAGTGAGTATATAACCGAAGTTATCTCAGTTACGAGTCGACATATCGTGTATATAACTGAACAGCACACCCATGTTTTCTTGATATCGACAGTCATGTCATCTTCACGAAACTAGCCTAAGCTAACCAAGGATAATTGTCACAATTTTGAGTTAAATCATAAACCGAGAAATACTGACCAGCTGTGCGCCGTAGACAGCCTTTTGGGCGTTACCATGGTACAGTGATGGTAATACCATGGTACTTTTATATAACATGGTACAGATTTCCATATGAATGTGCATTGGTATTTATATGGAACATAAAATAATACAATACAATGGTGCTGCCAGAGAAAACTGTATTACAATGGTCCCATACCCCAAAATAACACAACTTTACCATGGTAAGATGGCAGTACCCTAGTCACTTGTGTAGTGCGATAGTGGATAATGCTGTCTAAGTAGGCAGCACACTAGGATTTAAGACACTATCATACACTTATAATAAGAATAGCTGGTTGACAAGCATGTTTTTCCACAGTGCTGTTATTAAACGTGATTGTTTAAATGCTTTTCTGGGAAACTTACTAGGTTGTAGGGCATGTTGAATAGGTGGTAACTACCCTTCCTGACACACCTACGGTCATAATGTCCTGTGTGAAGGACACAAACAGGTCAGGCCCGTATTTAGTGATATATGTGCCATGTTTCATTTAGACTTGCACACTGTTTTTTACCAAGCACACTTGCATGTGGCTTTTTATTTGAAGTTTAGTCCAATATGCATGTCATTCTACAGCTTTTATATATGCTGATATAATAATATATGCTAATATGTGAATATATTTCCTTAACATTATGTTTTGAAGCAGTAATACCCTGTATATGCCAAATCGGTAGGAATATACTGTGTTTATTTTAGAGCGTAGCATTGCTGAATGAATGTACTTGCTGCAAGAACATCATCCCTTTTCAAAATGTTCTGGTGCGTATTTGTCCGTTTACACCCAGGGGACAATCTGATCTAATCAGATCTAATGTCTCAAATGTGTTGTAGGAGACAGTGGGAAGGTGACCACAGTGGTTGCCACCCCAGGCCAGGGCCCGGATCGCCCGCAGGAGGTGTCCTACACTGATATCAAGGTGATCGGTAATGGCTCCTTTGGCGTGGTGTATCAGGCACGCCTCATTGACAGTCAGGAGTGGGTGGCCATCAAGAAGGTACTTCAAGATAAGCGGTTTAAGGTATGACACACCCTCACACAAGCATATAAATACTTCGTTCAATAACACATTTTTTAAGAGTAATTCCTGTGTACTAGTTCTCAACTGCCTAATTTGGTACTCCAGTAAGTGACATGAAATAGTTAATTTTTAATAGTTAACGGAACATATTAAAAATGTTATTTGGTAGTTAAAAATAAAGCAGAAAGAAATATAATAATAGATGAAAAACAAAAACGTAAAAAAAAAAAATAGAAATTTTTATTCAAAAATAAAATGGAAAAAAGAACATACCAAAATATTAAAACTAAAATGAAAACAAAAATAAAAGCAAATAAAAATTAATACGTACTATAATAATATATAAATAATACTAACATAACACTGATTGTGACCCACCAGTTGTAGATGTAAAGATTACTTAAAAAGCAATGTATTATGCAAACAATAAAGGCTTGTTCACACCGTGATGAATATCGCGCGCGATTATCGCCGAAGTTTAACGCCTCCTGACTAGGCCTGTCGCAATAATCAATATATCAATTTATCGCGCAATATATGTACATGACCTCAATAATTTTTGGGGACGCAATATATCGCTCATTATATTTACTTAAAAATTAATGTCACCATGTTTTGTACATTCCACTTGCGCCTGTGTCTTTTGCAGCTTCTCGTACATAACGTGGTGTAGTCATGAGGTGCTAGTTCACATTTAAAAAATGCTTCTACAAACAAAGTTTCATCTGCAGATATGGTCTTGTTTAGGGATCTGTGCCTTTGTGCGTACGGACATCTGACTGCTAAGTAGTGATTGTGTTTCTCAGCAATAGTGTGCACCCTTAATTTACAGAGAAAAGAAGGTCAGGGAAAAATCTGTAGATGGAAAAATCTCCATACACCTTCTTTGTGCATTTTTCTTTTTTTCTACTTGTTACTTTGCACTTTTTGTTAGAAAATGTTTATTTACTATTAATTCAGGTTTTTTAAGGTATCTAATATTTTGATACTTCATTTCCATGATCTAAATATTCTTAAAAATGTAAAGTTTGTTGTCATTTGGAAGTGTGTAGGCCTTATTATGCTGTTACATTATGATTATATATTCAGTCTTTAAAATGACAATAATATCACTTATCGCAATTATTTCTGGGGCAATGTATCGCACAACAAAAAGTTGTTATCGTGACAGGCCTACTCCTGACTAAACAAAGGGTGCCAATGTGAGTTTGCACACCGACGCGCAAAATGCGAGGCGTAAAAGCGTAATTTTTTTTTAAACGCCTTGGGCTCGTTTTTTTGGTTTGACGCGCCGCGTTAAAAACTGGCCGACCAATGAGATTGGCGCTTTTGTTCACGTGCCTGGAGCTGCTGAAGTTATAGTAAAACACGACTTGGTGGCGCTCAAGCACAAAACGGTCTTGCCGATCACACATTGATACCTAATGACAAAGAGGAAGTAAGTAGACCAAGAAGATGCATCGAGGCAAGATGAATGTAGAGCTGCTGGTCTCATTGGTGTCTGAACATAAAGGGCTTTATGACAAACGCGACAGCGACTACAAATCTCGATAAGAGGGAGTTGTTATGGAGAGGAATTGCAGATCAAATAGGATTCGATGTGTACCGGGGTATTTCTGTTTTTCATGAAGTGCCATCTAATGTCAGGGAGTGAATTTGCACGTTCATCGCCAGCGAAAATCGCTTGGGTATGAACACAAAAGACGCGTCAAAAAATGTTGTGCGCGTGATAGTCGTCCCGGTGTGTATGAGGCTTGAGTGTTATAAATTCTTTTTTATGTTACCTGTCAGTCAACAGATGCTTTTCATTCAGAGTGACTGGCCTTACACTAATTGGGAGCAGTCTTGAGTTAAGAGACCTTCTCAGTCTCAATATTCTGAATTGAATATCTCACCAGTATGTTATTTGACCAACACCACCCTCTATTTCAGCCTTACACCGCTAACCATTTCCATGACCCACAAGTGCTGTCCACTACCAAACCTAACACTGTGTCCTTGAACGAGGCACTTAAACTGCTGTAGGAGAATTGACTCTCGTGACTACTTGTGTGTAAATATTCTTATATATTCTATATTCTAATAGTCTTTCTTCTGTGTTCATGAAGAACCGAGAACTTCAGATCATGAGAAAACTGGACCACTGCAACATAGTGAGGCTGCGCTATTTCTTCTATTGCAGTGGAGAGAAGGTAAAAGAACTGTGACATTTGTTGCAAAGCTCTATCAAAGTGTTAGTTTTCTAACACTACTGTTGAAAAGTTTGGGGTCAGGAATGTTTTTTTTTTATTAATATTTTTCAGCAAGAGTGCGTAATGCATTAAAATGATTTAAAGTGACAGTAAAGGCATTAACGATTATAAAGAAAGAATCCTGGTTGCCACAAAAAATATGAAGCAGCACAGCTGTTTTCAATATCACGCTCATTATATTTACTTAAAAATTAATGTCACCATGTTTTGTACATTCCACTTGCGCCTGTGTCTTTTGCAGCTTCTCGTACATAACGTGGTGTAGTCATGAGGTGCTAGTTCACATTTAAAAAATGCTTCTACAAACAAAGTTTCATCTGCAGATATGGTCTTGTTTAGGGATCTGTGCCTTTGTGCGTACGGACATCTGACTGCTAAGTAGTGATTGTGTTTCTCAGCAATAGTGTGCACCCTTAATTTACAGAGAAAAGAAGGTCAGGGAAAAATCTGTAGATGGAAAAATCTCCATACACCTTCTTTGTGCATTTTTCTTTTTTTCTACTTGTTACTTTGCACTTTTTGTTAGAAAATGTTTATTTACTATTAATTCAGGTTTTTTAAGGTATCTAATATTTTGATACTTCATTTCCATGATCTAAATATTCTTAAAAATGTAAAGTTTGTTGTCATTTGGAAGTGTGTAGGCCTTATTATGCTGTTACATTATGATTATATATTCAGTCTTTAAAATGACAATAATATCACTTATCGCAATTATTTCTGGGGCAATATATCGCACAACAAAAAGTTGTTATCGTGACAGGCCTACTCCTGACTAAACAAAGGGTGCCAATGTGAGTTTGCACACCGACGCGCAAAATGCGAGGCGTAAAAGCGTAATTTTTTTTTAAACGCCTTGGGCTCGTTTTTTTGGTTTGACGCGCCGCGTTAAAAACTGGCCGACCAATGAGATTGGCGCTTTTGTTCACGTGCCTGGAGCTGCTGAAGTTATAGTAAAACACGACTTGGTGGCGTTCAAGCACAAAACGGTCTTGCCGATCACACATTGATACCTAATGACAAAGAGGAAGTAAGTAGACCAAGAAGATACGTCGAGGCAAGATGAATGTAGAGCTGCTGGTCTCATTGGTGTCTGAACATAAAGGGCTTTATGACAAACGCGACAGCGACTACAAATCTCGATAAGAGGGAGTTGTTATGGAGAGGAATTGCAGATCAAATAGGATTCGATGTGTACCGGGGTATTTCTGTTTTTCATGAAGTGCCATCTAATGTCAGGGAGTGAATTTGCACGTTCATCGCCAGCGAAAATCGCTTGGGTATGAACACAAAAGACGCGTCAAAAAATGTTGTGCGCGCGATAGTCGTCCCGGTGTGTATGAGGCTTGAGTGTTATACATTTTTTGTATGTTACCTGTCAGTCAACAGATGCTTTTCATTCAGAGTGACTGGCCTTACACTAATTGGGAGCAGTCTTGAGTTAAGAGACCTTCTCAGTCTCAATATTCTGAATTGAATATCTCACCAGTATGTTATTTGACCAACACAACCCTCTATTTCAGCCTTACACCGTATATATATATATATTACTGTATTTTGATCAAATAAATGCAGCCTTGTTGAAGCTAAGAGACTTCTTTTAAAAGCATTAAAAACCTACAGGCCCCAAACTTTTGAATAGTCTTGCATGTCATGAGAATATCTGTTAAATTAGGTTCAGATCGTTGTAGTTAAAAAGATAATAATGACTCTTTTCATTCTGATGGCCTGTTCTATTGACAAGTATGTGCTTGTTGATTGTATGGACATAAATAATGAGTTGGTTAAAAGTTAGAATATGGATACAAGCGCTTGCCCTTATAGTTTTGGCCATGTAGTGTATTTTTGGCAAATTCAATTCAAGTTTATTTGTATAGCGCTTTTCACAATACCAATCGTTGCAAAGCAGCTTTACAGAAAATATTAAGTTTCTACAGTATATTTAGGAGTAGGTTATTAGTGGTGACTATGGCAGAAATGTACAGTAAGAATCATGCAGTTAGTTACAAATTACACGTAATCAAACGGGGACAGTGAACACTATTAACTGCAATGATTATATGTTGCGATTGCAATTAAGCAAAATTTGGTAGTTTTATATGTTGTTCCAGGGTTAGCATCATCTGGTTATTGCTTGTCATAATTTACAGAGGTTAATGTGTCTTTATTCCACAGAAGGACGAGGTTTACCTCAATCTGGTGCTGGACTATGTGCCTGAGACCGTCTACAGGGTGTCACGGCACTTCAGCAAAGCTAAAACTATTATTCCCATCTTTTATGTGAAGGTAAAGTTGACTGAACAAACACTTCAATTCTTGAAATTTTAACAAGGCAACACAATTCCAAATTGACCATTTTTACTCTCTATAAATGTTTTTGGTTTAATTGTGCACAGTTCATCAGTTTGTGCTGTTGATGAACTATATTTGTAATGTATAGATCAATGTGAGTTGCTTCCATGTCTAGCAAACACGAGCAGCTTTCTGTTAAGCAAATTTTACTACTACAGTTAGAGCCATATTAGTTGGCAGAAGAATTAATCCTATCATGATTAATAAATTAACTGTTTGTCTACTGTTTTATTAGATTTCTTTTATGTCGTCACTTTGGGAAAACCATTGACACACAGCCTCTCAAGGTTTATTGCTTTAATAACTTTTCATGCTTCTGAGACAACTCTTATTTTTGCTGACATAACCAAAGCCATATCGACAGGAAATAAATTAGATAATAATAATAATAATACTGCCTATGTTTCCCAATCCAGTCAAATCATGATGGATAAAATAAGCACCAAGACCCACCGTACATTATTTCCTGCATAATATTCAGTTTCACTTTGAAATGAGTCACATTGTTAGAGTTTGTTTGTTTGTTTATATTTTTAAATTTATATTTTAATTATCTTGCCAGAATGGGTTAAAGGGTTAGTTCACCCAAAAATGAAAATTAGCCCATAAACTGCTCACCCTCAAGTCATCCTAGGTGTACATGACTTCCTTCTTTCAGACGAATCCAGTCGGAGTTATATTAAAAATAGTTTTTGATCTTTCATGCCGTTTAATGCCACTCAGCGGGTGTTGCATGCATCAGTCCAAAAGCACTTAATTAAAATGCGCCCATCCATAAAAAAAAAAAAGTGTCTCACACGGCTCCGGGGGGTGAACAAAAGCCTTCTGTAGTGAATCGAGGCGCTTTTGTAAGAAAATATTCATATTCAAAACATAATAATCACTTTAATGTAGCTTGCGCTCACTGTTGTACACAGAAGCAGCTCCGGGTGGATGACGTATGAGGTCGGTGCTGCGCATGCGCCGGTGAGTCTCGTGAAAACCAACGTTTGTTAACAGGATCAAAGGAAGCAAAGTTTCCTTACTTTAGCAAAGGAAAACCAGTCTCCTCTTGGCTTATATTGAAATCCTCCGACATTCTTCTTTACAAATGACCGTTGTTTTCTCTCCGCAAGTGCGCTTCCGCTTGCGTCACTTCTGAGTGGCGCAACGCCAACCTCATACGTCATCAGCCCGGAGCTGCTTCCGTTTACAACAGTGAGCACAAGCTACATTAAAGTGATTATTATGTTTTGAATATGAATATTTTCTTACAAAAGCGCATCGATTCGCTACAGAAGGCTTTTGTTCACCCCCTGGAGCCGTGTGAGACACTTAAAAAAAAAAAAAAAATTTTTATGGATGGGCGCATTTTAATTAAGTGCTTTTGGACTGATGCATGCAACACCTGCTGAGTGCCATGAAACAGCTTGAAAGATCAAAGACAATTTTTTTATATAACTCCGACTGGATTCGTCAGAAAGAAGAAAGTCCTATACAACTAGGATGACTTGACGGTGAGTAATTTATGGGCTAATTTTAATTTTTGGGTGAACTAACCCTTTAATGTGTGTGGGCGGAAATGTACAATTTTGCATTAGTATTAAATTTTTTGTTAATGCTTTGGAAAGGATAAATAATAATGAATAATAATAAAAAAAAAACATTGCTGAATAATGTATATGTGACCCTGGACAACAAAACCAGTCATAAGGTAATTTTTTTGAAATTGAGATTTATACATCTGAATAAATAAGCTTTCCATTGATGTATGGCTTGTTAGGATAGGACAATATTTGGCAGAGATACAACTATTTGAATATCTGGAATCTGAGGGTGCAAAAAAATCAAAATACTGAGAAAATCGCCTTTAAAGTTGTCCAAATGAAGTTCTTAGCAATGCATATTACTAATCAAATATGAAGTTTTGATATATTTATGGTAGGAAATGTACGAAATATCTTCATGGAACATGATTAATATCCTAATGATTTTTGGCATAAAAGAAAAATCAATAATTTTGACCCATACAATGTATTGTTGGCTATTGCTACAAATATACCCAAGCAACTTAAGACTGCTTTTGTGGTCCAGGGTCACATATATTAATAAATAATAATTTAATGACATTATTTAGTCATTAGTAATATAAAAAAGCAGGCCGATTAAGATATTGCCTTTTTCTTTAATATAAAGATGCTTACTTGTCGTCTTGTTTTCTCTTAGGTGTATATGTATCAGCTTTTCCGCAGTTTGGCCTATATCCATTCCCAGGGCGTGTGCCACAGAGACATCAAACCACAGAACCTTCTGGTGGACCCAGAAACAGCTGTTCTTAAGCTCTGTGACTTTGGCAGGTCAGTGCTGTGTGTGTGTGAGAGAGAGCGTGAGCGAGCGGGTGAATGGATCTGATGGCTTCTCAAATGTGTCCTTCTGCCCGCCAGTGAACATTATGTTCAGTTTTAATGGGTGTTACACTATAATAGTCATTATATTTTGAGAGAGCATCTCTTTATAAGTGTGGGCTTTAGTTGGTGTCTAGATTTGATTTGTATTGGCGATGCATTAACTCGCCCTGCCTCCGGTCTTTGTAAGTTATATTTGTTTCAGTTATAGTGCATTGTTAAATATGTTAGCGAATGGCATTGTTCTTGTCCATGGTTCATTGACAGAAGCAATATGCATTCAGATATTGATGGGACCGGTCAGATTGTCTCTCTGATGTGATCCTTTGTCCTTTTTCTGATGGATTTCCATTAAAAACAGTCTTTTTTTCAAAGCCGCTTTTATGAGAACCACTTGAACCCTTGGATGATAGGCAGACGTGTTGACCACTGTAATCCAGACCCCATTTGTTTAAGTATTTAATTTGTGATTGTGTAAGGCACTTGATGGCATTCAGGCTGTTAGGTTTTCTTTTGAGGGAACATGAACACTGCTTTTTTGTGTCTGTAAAAAAGTGGACAATTTGGCAACTCAAGGGCTTGAAAATAGTTATTTGGCTGAGTGGAGAGATGCACATCAGACTGGAATAATCGCTCTGTTTGAAAGCGAAACAGCTGTATTGAATTTAGGAGCTGTTTTGCCTGCAGTTCTGTCATTCAGGCATGTTTTAGTCCATTCGTTTTTACTTGCTTTAATTTAAAAAATGACAAAGCATTCAATGCCGAAACCACTGCATGAACAATAGTGGTGAAATACTCTCTTTTGTATTAGGATGGAGGGAGATTTTTATGCTATTGAGCTTGATTCAGTGTTTGTTTTGTTGAGGAGCTATAAATCTTTCATTTGTTTCATACTGACTGTCTAATTAAAGTTTTTCTCATAATTCAAATCTGTCTCTCTCAGTGCAAAGCAGCTGGTGAGGGGTGAGCCCAACGTCTCTTATATCTGCTCACGATACTATCGCGCCCCTGAGCTCATCTTTGGTGCGACAGACTACACCTCCAACATTGACATCTGGTCAGCTGGATGTGTGCTGGCCGAACTGCTGCTGGGGCAGCCCATCTTCCCTGGAGACAGTGGTGTGGACCAGCTAGTGGAGATCATAAAGGTAAACCTAACCCTTTTGAGCTGTACTTTTAGATTCAGTTCAACACTGTTAGGCAAGATGATTTATAATGATCTTTTAAAAACAAAACGAATGCTTTTATTCAGCAAGGGTGCATTAAATGAATCGCAAGTGACCGTAACGACATTTGTAATGTTACACAAGATTACTATATCAAATGAATGCTGTCTTTTCTAGTAATCAATAAATCCTAAAAATGAATGCATCACAGGTTCCACAAAAATATAAAGCAGCACAACTGTTTTCAACATTGATAATAAGTGTTTATTGTGGAGCAAATCAGCATATTAGAATGATTTTCAGCTTGAAAATGCATCTTTGCATTACATGAATAAATTACATTTTAAAATGTATTCAGTTAGAAAAACAGTTATTTTAAATTGTAATAATATTTCACAATATTGCTCTTTTTTTCTGTATTTTTGTTTTAAAGGGGTCATATGATGCTGCTAAAAATAACATTATTTTGTGTATTTGGTGTAATGAAATGTGTTTATGCGGTTTAAAGTAAAAAAAACACATTACTTTCCACATACTGTACATTATTGTTTCTCCTCTATGCCCTGCCTTTTTTAAATTACTACAGCGAGAACAAAAGTTACGCCGCCTTTATTTGCGTGAACATTTGGGCAACGTTATGCAAATCTTCCTACATAGTGACGTAGATTTGTGGGGGGCGTATTCGAACGAGCCGTTTTAGGTCGGCGTGGTTGACTCTTAACTTTTATAAAGAATATCTCTTTGGATTTGAGACTTTACTCTTTGCAACTTTACAGATCTTATTTATGCACCAAGAGCTTGTAACACTCCAAAGAGAAAGGAAAAATTTAAATCGCATCATATGACCCCTTTAATAAATGCAGCCTTGGTGAGCATTAGAGACTTCTTTCAGAAACAAAACAAAAAAATCCTTGAATGCTAGTGTTTTTTTTTTTTTTTTACTTTAACCCAGCGTTCTTTACGGCTGTTTCTGTCTGTCCGCTCAGATACTTGGAACACCCACAAGAGAACAGATCCGTGAAATGAACCCGAACTACACAGAGTTCAAATTCCCACAGATCAAAGCACATCCATGGACCAAGGTAAAATCTCACACAAATATCTGACTCCCATCTACAGCCAAAGCCATGAGGTATCAGTTAGCTGGCTTATAAATATTCTCAAGTAACCACTTTTGACAATCTGCAAGTTTACTGCTTGTTCTGTCCAAGAGACAGGAAGAAACCATCTGACCGACATGTAATGTAACAATTTGAATAACTTGCAAAGGTTTTAGACTTGATGACAAGTTTACCAAATTCGGCAGTTACAATTACCTTTAATTTATCATTTCATTGTCTACAGGGCCCCAGACTAAAAATTTTTTTTTTTAAATCATTAAGGAGCCCATGACTCCTATAAGAAACAAATGACTAATGAGCTTATAGATGTTGAATGGTTATTCTGAGGTCAATGTATTGTTACGTGGCATTGCTTACCTACTGTAAGCTTTACACGTTTTCCACAGTCTGAAACACTGAATGAGCGATTACATGAGACATTTCAATAAGTTGTACTAGGGCTGGGCGATATAGCAAAAAAAATATATCAACGATATGTTTCATATCATTCGGTATCGATAATTATTGACATTTTTTATAACCTTTTTTTTAAAACCGAGCAATATAATTTTTTTTATAGCAATATAATTTGTCTTTATTAAGACAAACAACAACAACAACAAAAAAAATATATATATAATTTTTTCTTTTTACAGTCAAACGCAAAATAAAATTTAAACAAATATCTCCTTTCTTATGTTTTATATGCAGATTAAATAAGTCTTATGGAAACTTTTGACTTGTTTCCCGAGGGCGCAATGAGCAAAATGATGCAACGCATTAATTGTCAATTCAAATAACTTGTCTATAAAAACGTGCATAACGTCTAAATTAACATGTATAAATCAAATATAATTTTGTAAACTGCATAAACAATTATAAACAAAACAGCATCATGTGTTTATGCATTTCTTAGCCTAATACAAAGAGCCAAATCGCCGATCACACAGATTGCATTTAAAAACATATGGGACGCAGTGAAATGAAATAAACCTTCACAAATTCGCGTTGCGTTTTCTAAACGTTAAAACTGTTTTAACTTTGCATAGATGCGAGTGCAGTAGTCATATTTGTCCATCTAAAAATGCACTGAATTTGCATTCTGTGTGAATGGCTTGGTTTCGGTTTTAACCTAATCAAGATCTTCTACACATTGAGCTTCTATATTTCTCTAATATTTTGAACGAATAACACCGCAGCGGCACGTCTCGTGGGCTAGACCAGTGTTTCCCAACCGGGGTGCCATCTGTCGAGAGCAGGGGTGCCTTTTTTAATATTTTTAAATTGCTAAAATGTTCAAAAAAGCATATATTATATAATATCCCTTTCTGATGTCGCAATAATTAGAGATGCACCGAAATTTCGGCTGCCGAAAATTAGTACACCGCTCAGGTTTCACTTTCACGTGGTGTGACGCTCTGCGTATTATCCCGCTCTATGCGTGTGCGCTCCGCTCAGTCGCTCCACTCATACACCGTTCATGTGAATCGGAACAGCAAAGTCCACTCAAAAATTGAGCTGACAGGAAACATCGATGTAGTACAGTATTGTTTCTGTCTGCAATAGCACTGTGTTGTAACATGGTGTGGTAAATGGGCAACTCTGGTAACGCTGCCCTCTCATTCATTGATCTGCTAACCGCTATGTTATGCTCACGTGTTCTGATAATAATAGCTTTCTAGGACTAAACATTATTTGGATAATTGGTAAGATCATAACGTAAATTTATATAGTCACCAGTGGCGACCTCAGCAAAAACTAGCTAATATTTTTGGTCGCAAATGTTTTAGTCCGAGTCTGGAGCCCTGGTCTATATTCTGTAGTTTATAAATCAGTGTAGTCTAAGTTGTGTTAAGCAATGTTTAGTACAAGTAATGGGTAGAATGGGTGATTTGTCAAACTTCCAAAAAGGAAAAATCATGAAAGTTTGTTTTGCAGGAGCATCTTTAACCTCAACAGCCCAATTGTTTGGTGTTTTAAGAACAGCAGTCTTTATAATTATTATGACTATGTACACAAATCATGGCGAGATTTATCAAAGAAGAAGAATAGTGCACAAAAACCGAAAGTGAATGATGGGAGGGACCGTCAAACACTAAGAAGGATTGTGTCCAAACAATACACATTTACTGCAGTAAAGTGACAGCTATCCTCAATATTCACTTTAAGACCCTGTTTCCACAAAACCCAACCGCAGAGAACTTCACAAAGCCAACATCTGTGAAGGAGCTGCAATTGCTAAAAATTTAATCACAGACACCAATGCTGATTCATTGGTGAATTCACACTGTGCATTCAACTGGAGACTATTCAAAAGTTGTATAAATCCAGGCCCGGCTCCAGAATCAAATCACTGAGGGTGCTTCTTAAATTAGTGAGGGTGCATGCATGCATACATATATATTAGTGGAGTCCGTTGCTATGGCGCAAAGAGAGCTTCGTTCATAATCACTAAAAAAAAAAGCTGTCACTCCTCTTAGTTCATCGTGATCTCACAAAGATACGTTATTATCATTAAAGTTCTCTACGCTGCACAACGAATCTCTTATTTACATTGCATCAACACTTTGTTATAATGAGATGATTCCTGCTGAACACAATACTTAAAAAAACCTCCGGCGATTTTTTTAGCAGTGAGTGGATTCTAACTTAAACGCCTCTGATTCAAGAAATCAACAGATATGTCTGTGATTAGCTACATTGCTCAACGCTGCAAAAACACGTTGAAACAGAAATCGATTTATTGCCAAATCTGCAATAAAATGCCATTAATACAGTTTTAACTGAGAGTGCTTTTGATTTTGTTTGAGGGTGCTTAGCACCCTCTAGCACCCCCGTAGAACCGGGCCTGTATAAATCTATTCTAAAACGGTTAGAAGTTATATTAAAGGCAATGATGGTAAACACCTTAATAAAGAAACAGGTGTTCACATAATTTTGTCCGACTCTTGCATATATATTTTCAGCGACTATCTAATTTCAGTCAGCAGTCTGTTAACTCTAGTGTTGTTTCCTCTCGATTGACATTTCTCTTTCTTATGTCATTCCTCCACAGGTGTTTAAACCAAGAACTCCGCCTGAGGCAATAGCCCTGTGCTCTCGGCTGTTAGAGTACACACCTGTGACACGACTGTCTCCGCTCCAGGCCTGCGCTCATGCCTTCTTTGACGAGCTGCGCCAACCTGGCACCCGTCTGCCCAGCGGTCGAGAGTTGCCTCCGCTTTTCAACTTCACCACCACAGGTGAGTCACAGGAGCCTTTCATGCGTATCCTTTGCAACAAACTTCTCACTGATTGCATACAGGTGTCATCAAAGTAACGTCTCAACAAAACAGATTTCTGTAGGATTAGTGTCAGTTTTAGCCTGACGTTATTCAGACTCAGAACAAGGATCCAGATCAGTATTTAATTGTAAATTCAGCTGTGAGAATCATTAAATGTTGAGGAGACATGAGAAGTCCCTGCCCAGTGCACCAGACCATTTATTAAAACTAGCCTGTTAAGAGCTGAAGCAGTCTCACATTAAGATATAACCACCCGCATTTATGTATTATATCAACACCTTTTTCTCACTTTGACCTGTCCTGATAGAAGACTTTATAGACAGCAGTTCGTAGATGTTAGCCAGTTATTCATTTACATATGCTGCCATTCAAAAGTTTGGGGTCTAATTTTATTTTTTAAATGAAATGAAATAAATGCTTTTCACTTATCTAATCCTGAAAAAATGTATCACTGTTTCTACAAAAAATATTAAGCAGCACAACTGTTGTCAATATTGATACTAATATTAAATGTCATGCCGAAAATCAGCATGTTAGAATGATTTCTGAAGGATCATGTGACACTGAAGACTGAAGTAATGCTGATGCTACAAATTTAGTTAATTCAAAATAAAAAATGTGTTCAATTTAAGTTATTTTAAATTGTAATAATATTTCACAATATTACCATTTTACAGATGTGTAAAAAAAAGTGTAGCCTTGATGAGCATAAAAGACATCTTTCAAAAACATAAAAAAAATCCTATCGACCCCAAACTTTTAAAGGTAAAAAGATAAGTTATCTGCCATCATTTACTCACCATGATGTTTGTGTGCATGATGACATGTATGATGTGTAGGTCAGCCCCTTGAGAAGCTCTATGATTTAGCTTACTATAATAATTTGCTAGGACTGGCTAACAAGATAGTTTCTGATCCTAATCATGTTCTGCATAATGAGTTTGAATTATTACCATCAAACCGGAGGTTTAGAGTCCCAAGATTCAATAAAGTTAGGCTGAAACATTCTTTTGTGCATCAGGCGATCCTGGAGCTGAATAAGACACTTAATCAAAAAATCAAGAGTAATGTGAACATGGTGTAGTTGTAGAAGTGTAGTAGGAGGGTAAGGTATAATGTAATGTTTAAGGGAGTGTAATGTATATTGTGTTTTGTTTGTGTGTGGATGAAGTGCATGTTGTTGTTTAAAGGATGTTGATTGTTGTAAACACAGATACTGTCATGCAAGAAAAATTTCAGACTCGTCTGACAATAAAGTGTTATAAAGTAAAATAAAAAAAAAGTAAATATTAAATGTCATGCCGAAAATCAGCATGTTAGAATGATTTCTGAAGGATCATGTGACACTGAAGACTGAAGTAATGCTGATGCTACAAATTTAGTTAATTCAAAATAAAAAATGTATGTTCAAAATTTAAGTTATTTTAAATTGTAATAATATTTCACAATATTACCATTTTACAGATGTGTAAAAAAAAGTGTAGCCTTGATGAGCATAAAAGACATCTTTCAAAAACATTTAAAAAATCCTATTGACCCCAAACTTTTAAAGGTAAAAAGATAAGTTATCTGCCATCATTTACTCACCATGATGTTTGTGTGCATGATGACATGTATGATGTTCTTCAATGCAGCACAAGATGTTTATCACTGAATAGTGATTTAAATGTCAAATATCAGAAGACTTCAGAAGGAGCCCATTAGACTACTCTATTATAATTTTATAATACTTTTACATCCTTTTTGAAGCTTGAAAGCTTAATTCCCTATGGAAATTAATTGCACGGCCAGTACAAATCTCTTTTTGTGATCTGCATAAGAAATAAAATAATACAAATTTGGAAAGGCGTGAGTGTGCGTAAATTATGACCGATTATTTATTTATGGATGAACCATTCCTTTAATTCTAAGGGTTAGAGAGAGGGCGGCAAATGGTCATGTAAAACTAAATTACAGCTATGTTTGATGCAAGAAACCTTGACTAATATAATTGGACTTCAGGGAAGAAACTTAAATACTACAGAAGCGATTGAGAGGAGACTAGCTGCACTTTGCTCAGCCCCTCCAAAATATCCTGTTGCTTTTCTTTCTTATTTGGATTTGTTTTTCCCTTTGGTATTGCTTAGTGATGCAGTGCTTGCACATTTTATTTGAGTTATTTTTTTTACCATTCAACTCGTTTGTGTGAAACGTTTCTGTTCTTAAAAGAGCATTTGATATTTTTCTTCTTTGTTCGTTCCACTTCGAGGTCTGTCAACAGAGTGTGTTTCTCTTTATTTCAGAGCTGACGATTCAGCCGCAGCTCAATTCCACTCTCTTTCCACCTCATGCCCGCGCACAGACCGTAGCTTCCTCCAACGGTAATGCTGTTATCCTTCTCACTGATTACTCTGGGAGTGGGTGGGGTTAAGACAATATTAAATCAAAACTCACCATATTAACTTAATGTTAATGAAGCCTTCCTGTTCTTTATAGTGCACAATTAATCAGTGCATTTATTCCATTTAGAAAAATGCTGCTTCTCATTATCTTTCATGGACAATAACTTTCCCTGCTTCTGAAATTACATTTCTGATGTAGTAACGCCCTACTTTGGTATTAATTTAACTCCTGTTAAACTACCGGTGTTTTAAAGGTTTTTTTTGGAAAAAAAGTATCTTATGCTTACCAAGGCTGCATTAATGTAACCCAAAATACATAAAAAATGTAATATGTGAATATATTATTAAAATTTAAAAGAACTTTTTTTCCCCTATTTGAATGTATTTTAAAATGAAATTTATTTCTGTGATGCAAAGCTGAATTTTCAGCATCATTCCTCCAGTCTTCAGTGTCACATGATCCTTCAGAAATCATTCTAATATGCTGATTTTATTGTTATAAATGTGTGGTGCTTAATATTTTTGTGGAACCTTGATACATTTGTTTCTGGATTTTCTGATTTAAAAAGTTAAAAAGATCAGCATTTATTTGAAAAAGAAATATTTAATATTTTTAACATTATAAATGTCTTTACTGTCACTTTTGATCAATTTAATGAATCCTTGCTGAAATCAAGTATTAAATATATATATTTAATACTAATATATATATATTAGTCCTGCCAAATGATTAATCGCATCCAAAATAAAAGTTTTTGTTTACATAATATATGAGTGTGTACTGTGTATATTTATTATGTATATAAAAAACATGCATGTATATTTAAGAAAAATTGTATGTTTATATATTAAATATTTATATATAATATAATAAATATATAAATGTA